ACCCTGGCAGGCTGCGTGCCAAAGGTTGCCGATACCTGTTCTATAGCGTGTGTTATATGGGAAGTCAGACTAGATCAGGGGTGGGCAAACTTTTTGGGCCGAGGGCCACATCTGGGTGGGGAAATTGTCTGCAGGGCTGGGACTGAGGGTTGGGGTGCGGAAGGGAGTACAGGGTGTGGGAGGGTGCGGTGTGCAGGAAGGGGGTTGGGGTGCAGGAGGGGTGCGGAGTCAGGAGGGGGCTCAGGGCAGGAGTGCGTACTGCGGGAGGGGGCTCAGGACAGGGGTTGGGGTGCAGGAGGGGTGCAGGTTGAGGCCGGGGGCTCAGGGCAAGGGTTGGAGTGCACAGGGGTGCAGGAAGCGGTGCAGGCCGAGGGATGTGCTGGCCACCGCTTCCCTCAGCCCCCATTGGCCTGGAGCGGTGAACCGCGGCCAGTGGGAGCCACGATTGGCCGAACCTGCAGACGTGGCAGGTAAACAAACCGGCCCGGACCACCAGGGTAAGCACCCTGGCGGGCCGTGGGCCAAAGGTTGCTGATCCCTGTTCCAGGTGTTTGCAAATTGATTGCTTAGTTATTTGCTCCATTATCTTTCTGGGTACTGAAGTTAAGATGACTGGGCTGTAATTCTCCAGGTAGTCCTTATTTTCCTTTGTGTATTTTGGCACTATATTTGCCCTTTTCCAGTCCTCTGGAATCTCTCCAGTCTTCCATGACTTTTCAAAAATAATCGCTAATGGCTCAGATATCTCCTCAGTCAGCTGCTTGAGTATTCTAGGATGTATTTCATCAGGCCCTGGCGACTTGAAGACATCTAATGGTCTAAGTAATTTTTAACTTGTTCTTTCTCTATTTTAGCCTCTGAACCTACCTTGTTTTCACTGGTATTCACTATGTTAAACGTCTAATCTCTACTAACCTTTTTGGTGAAACCTGAAACAAAAAAGTCATTTAGCACTTCTGCCACTTCCACATTTTCTGTTATTGTTCCACCCCGACCCCCTCCATTGAGTAATAGGCATATCCTGTCCTGGGTCTTCCTCTTGCTTCTAATGTATTTGTAGAATGTTTTCTTGTTACCCTTTATGTCTCTAGCTGGTTTAATCTTGTTTTGTGCCTTGGCCTTTCTAATTTTGTCCCTGCATACTTGTGTTATTTGTTTATATTAATACTTTGTACTTCTCCCCTGACTGCTACTTTTGAGTCTTCCTTCCCAGTGGCTACCTCCAGGGCCTGCTTCTGCTGCTACCCATATCTTTCCTATGTAGCAGCAGAAGATAATTGAGCATGGATTTACACAACAGCAGTGAAAACTACCAAGTTTGATTAGTTTTAATTCTGCTGCAACTTGGAAAAGCTTTGGGAGCACAATAGAAGACCTGGAACCGTCTGTAGACTTTGGAAGACAGCACTGCTTTGGTTTTTCAGTCGGTACATGTTTGACAGATTGTTGTGCAGTGGTAAAGATTAGACATATCCATTATTTAAAAATTGAAAGCTTAGGTTATGAAGAAGTTGAATGGGACTCAGCAAGTTAATCTTGCTTCACTCCATGGATGACTGGATATTTTAAGCTCTGAATATAACCCAATGCTATTGCAAGGCCATAGTACCATTTTTATTATGTAACTAATCCTGGTATTTATTGACTGGCTCACTAAATAGATGTATTTGTTATGGATTTGTTCCAACTGTACAGCAGTGTAACTACTGTACATATATACAAGTGATAGTAGAGTCAATATGAAACTGACTGATCTACGTTGTGGATTTCCAAAATCTGCCAGTATATCCCTATATAATTGCCAGATATCAGATTTTGAACCAAAGTCCAGCATGCGTGGGGTGATGCTTTTCTTAGAAAAGAATGCCTTTCATGTCTTGCCTATTGTCTGAACATGTGTTGCGAAAGCCTCAAAAAGAGCATAGTCTAATAAAAGTGGGTGTTATAGTCATAATAAGTACAGTGGATTCACTTTAAAAGTTTCCTTTTAACTTGTTATGGTTACGTAATACATTTATTGGTACTAACAGATATTCCCTACACTGACACTGGGGAATATCACTAGTACTATTAATATCTATCTAATGTAAAAATAATACATTATACACTTTGCTTGGGCTTGGATGCATAATAGATGTATGTTAATGTTGCTGAGTTTGGAGTTAAGGTTTTGCATTATTGTGTGATTCTGAAGAATATGGTGTGTTACTATACATGTTGGATGTGTATGGAGCTTATTCACAGAAGGGCAATGAAAGCAGGAAATGCGCTATATGTGAGTTAACACATGTTAATAAAGGATACCATAACTGGACATGTTCTTCCTTTCAAGGATTTGTGTGGAGAGGTATTGCCCTTAATTATTAATTATTAAGCAACCTTAATTATTTTTAACAGTTGTCTGTTAGTAGTAATAATATATAATACTCTGGAACAAAAGCATTTTCAGTCTTTGCTGGCATTGAGAAGATTAAAGAGAAAACATACATTTTGTTTTCAAGACAGAATTTTCCCCAGGAGTATTTTTCAAGCTATGAATATAATTTAGTATCTGATTTGAGTTCCATATCCTTTAGATTTTAAGAACCTCAAGGGTGCTATTTTATAGATTAAATGAACTGTGATGGGACAATAATGTTTTCATCTACTGGCAGTGTAGATGATTCAGTATAGGTAGCCTCATGAACGAAAATTCCTCCATGTTGACAGATGAAGGAACAGTTCCTAGACAATTCAAGGGAAGAAATGTGTGATGATGCAAAGGTTTGAGAGTTTATATGCCAGGATGATAGATGCCTTAGAAATATTTGTGATAGGTTGTGCTGACAAGAAGAAGAGCCAAAGCAGCCAAAAGGTTTTAAAGAAACAAAAAACAGATTTGACCAGACATTGTAGCCATGTTGATCTCAGGACCAAAACATTGTGCTCCATGGACCAACACAGATACAACACTGCATACAACAATGGAAGATATTGAATGTTGCCATCTGAAATAGAAACTCCATGGAGAAAAAGAAAGCAAAAATGTAACAGGAACACCTGCTTCATGAGCAAGGCAAGAAAGTAAACATCATCCCCAGAGGCCTAACCATCCATAAGTCTCTGACCACTCTATATCGCATAGCTCTGCAGAAGGACTTCAAAAAACGGAAGAACCACTTACTGTACTTCATTCCAGCAGGAACCACCTCAAACAAGAGGTCATCACATGCTCCTTACAGAAGTTGGTCAGATAAAAGATATTACCCACCCACCTTGTCTTTCTAAAATTTGCCTAGAGGCATTTAGTCTATGTGCACATTTTTAAGACGTATCAATTTGGTTTTAAAGTGCTCCAATACTGGGTAATCATTTTCTAATTGATTCAGTATTAACATCCAGAGAGAATTAAATTAGCTAAATGCTGTTGCATCACATTTCTAAGTCATCAACCATTTTCAATTACCACTCAAGCAATATACACAAACTTTTGCAAGATGTAATATTTTTTATTGACAATACAGGGTAACACAACTTTAAAAAGCAAACAGACATTTATAGAACTTCCTTACTATATGTCAGAGAAAGGCAAGTCTGACTGGTTTGGGGGGCCATAAGATAGCACAAGGCTCCCAACACCAAACATCACAGTGTTCCTGATCTTGTTTCAGAGTCATATAGGTAGGTATGTAGGATAGAAGGATTTCTTCTATTCTGTCAATAAGATCAGAAATGGAAATAGGACTACTAATTGCAGAGTTATACTGTACCACTGGTCTTCAGAAGTGTAAGGTTCCAAGGGGCTACTTGCTTTGTTTGTGCCTAAGGTTAGCCCTGAGTAAGCACATGTGTATAATCATATAGAAACAA